GTGAAGTTCCTCATAGTCAACCCCATCACTCCACTGAAAATGCTCATGAAAATTTGCAGCTTGTTAAATCCTAAGCATGTCTCTACTTTCATCTTTTCTACATCTCAGCAACATTCAGTTGATAACTTCACTTAAAATAAAATTTTATATTTTCATCTGAAAAGCAGATTTTGAGAGAAAAGGAGTGACAAAGAGAGGGAGATCTTCCAATTGCTGGTTCACTGCCCAAATGGCCACAATGGCTGTAGTTGGGCCAGTCTGAAGCCAGGAGCCTGGAGTTTCTTCTGGGTTCTCACATAGATACAAGGGGTTCAAGCATTTGGATCATCCCAGGCACTTAGCTGGGAGCTGGATCAGAAGTGGTGCAGCTGGGACTCAAACCAGTGCCCACAAGGGATGCTAGCATCGTTGGTGGAGGCTTAACTTAAAATGCCATGGCAGTGTCTCTGACGATAATTTTCCACTGAAACACTCTCTTCATGATAGCATTCATTCACTTGCAATCTCCTAGTCCACTTTTCTTTTGCTGACTTCTCTGTTGCAAAAGAAAAAAAGAACAAGAGCACTTTCCCTTTTGGTAACGATTCCATCATCTACTAGTTAGTAAAAAACATAAAAGTCATCCTTGATGCCTTTTTTCATTAAGGATCAGTTTCAGCTCATAAGCAAGTTCTGTTGGTTCCTTCCTGGATATGTGAAGCCCTCTCCAAAAAGCTCCATCATTCTAGCCTACAGCTGTAGGTTCCTGCTGGTCTCGGAATAATAATTTTTCCATATTTTTCCACAACAGCCCAAATCATCTTTTAGGTATCCAATATTTAGAATGGTGGCTTCCCAATATTTAGAACAAGGTCTTAACTCAGAACCCCAAGTTACACAATTGCATAATCTGGTTCCTGCCCACTTCACTAAACTTATCTCATTCCACCTTGCTTGCAATTGATACACTTGTCCCAGCTAAGATGTACCTTACCTGATCAGCTCTTACCCTAGATTTGCACAGTCTCCTTTCCTCACTCAAGTCTGAAGCCAGCTTTCTCTTAATGGCTGCTAGATCTTTGCTCCACTTAAAACCAAATTGCTTATCTGCCTCTCGCCATAGAACTAAGCTTGATGAGCAAAGGACGATTTAGCTCACATATCTTCAGTTTTAGAATAGCCCCAGGCAGATGGCGAGCACACAACACCTGCACAGCACATAACCTATCAAATAGCAGCTGAAGGGAATTCTAGCACACATGGATTCCTTTTCTAACTGCCTCTTAGCGTGAAGGCAGTAAGAGTAAACCATGTCCTCACAATCCTGCACTAGCCAGCAAAGCACATCAGTTTGTAAGCTACATTCTCAAGAACAACTGTTAACAATTCTGAGGTAGTCTTTCTTCTGTTGAAGACCACTGATCAAAATTTAAAAAAGGTTCCTAGAAGAAAACTAATTTTTTCATTATCCTAAATATTAGGAGTTGGGAACATGAAAGAATTAAACAAGCAAATCAAAATGTTGCAGGCATACTTACTGCTTACCAGTGTAATGTGATGTACTGTTATTGTTGTAGCTTAAGTAAGTAGCTAAGCTGTTTTACCCCTGACGTACTCCTACAACGTACAAGGTCAAAGGATCTGCAATTTCCAGTGACTTTGGTTTTCAACACTTACACCTTGGATCCTTAGTCACTTAAGATATTAGTCTCAAAGTTCTTCTGATCTTTGACTTTCAAGCAATGATTGCATAATCAGTTTTTGAGATTTAGGGTTGGTCCTTTGTTCCTGGGCTTAAGGTCATACCTGAGAACGGTACTATTTTTGGATACCTGGTAAACACCTACGTCGTGTCTTAGAGGTTGTAGTTAGGGAGTTCAACTTGAAGCACCCTAACAGGGATTTGGAAGAGTACATTTCCTCCCTTGGTTCTTCTCCTGTCTTTATTTCTTGCTTGGACATGTTTAATTTTAAACTAAAGTGGTTGTTTCTAAAAAAAATAGCTGTATACAATGTGAATTGTTCTAGAACAGATGATTTTTAACAGGTCGAGAGGCCCATTCCTCCATGAATAATTCAAAGAACAAAAATAAAATTTCAAAAGACTAAAGCCTTTATTTTCAAACCAAAGTAATGAGCTTTTCGTTGTCTGTCCTGAGAAAAAAATCTTAAAACACTAGAAAGTTGTTTTATAGAAGTACTCAAACCTGTATGACTTTTTGATGCTGTTTATATCACTGTGCTGGTCTCGAGCTAATTGTCATTAATATTTACAAACTTTTTCTAAGAGGTAGATCACATAACTTTTATTAACAACAAGGCATGTGTATTTCCAAATGAGTCAAAGAAACCTGGCGTCCCTAAGTCTTGTATCACTTGTGACTCATCCTGCAGTTATTGGTTAGTTCAATTCTCAAGTGTTAATTTGTGGGATTTCCAATTTTAGAAGGTAGCCATTGTCTGCAATGCCCCAATTCACCTATTGCTTACTGCCTAATTAATGTGAGCAAAGCATCTTAATACTACATACAACAAAATTCAGAAAACTTTTTTCATAACCAATTACATAACGCAAAACTGAACAATTTTGCATTATTGCTCCATGTTTTGGATGAAGAGCAATTAAAAACTGTCATTGTCTTTCAAGTCTCACTTGAAATACTTGCATCACAAATTTGGTATTGAAGAGGCTGGCATTGTGGTGCTCACATTCCATATGGATGCCCGATCATGTTTTGGCTGCTCTGATCCAGCTCCCTGCTAGTGGAACGGGAAGAGCAGAAAATGGCAAGTGTCTGGGCTCCCGTCACCCATGTGGGAGACCTGGATGAAGCTCCTGGCACCCAGCTTTGGCTTGGCTCAGCCTGGCTGTTGCAGCCATTTGGGGAGCAAACATCTGATGGAAAACCTCCTCAGTCTTGCCTGCTTTCAATAAATATTAAGAAAAAAAAAAGCCAAAAACCAACCCTTGGTATTAGAGTAGGCCACAGACATAATAAGGCATAGCCAAAACGTTGTACAATTTGAGGGGATGGTTAAAATGAGACACATTTTTACTCATATGATTGATTGTAAGACAAGTTATAGGTACACTGGGGATTTTCTTAAGACTTTATTTTTATTGAAAAGTCAGATTTATGGAAAGAAAAAAAAAATCTTTCATCCACTGGTTCATTCCCCAAGTGGCCACCAACGGCTGGAATTGAGCCAATTTGAAGGCAGGAACCAGGAGCTCTTCCAGGCCTCCCAGATGGGAATAGGGTCCTAAGGATTTGCGAAATCCTCTACTGCTTTCTCAGGCCATAAGCAGGGAGCAGGAAGGTAAGTGGAGCAGCTGGGACAAGACCTGGTGCCAATATGGAATCCTGAGCTTACAAGGTGGGGGTTTAGGCACCAAACTTAAGTCTTGGGGAATTCTTTCCATGGAATATATTTGAGTCAGAAACAAGTGATACTAACTTTAATGCAAACTGGAAAAAAAATATTGTGAAGCATTGAGGAGTGAGCTATGTTCAATATAAAGGGAACTTCATAAAGTTCATGCCAAATGGAATAAGTTTTTGCTCAAAAAATTTAACCAATACTATTTTTTTTCCAGAAAATGCAGTTTTGATGACTTTTTTGAAGACTTTCTGGAAAGATCTTGTTATGTAGCTATGCTCACAAGAAATTGTACATGTCAATCATTTATCTGGAAATCCTGACCAAGATCTAGTTTTTATCAAGATAAGAAAAAATCATTACCAATAGTAAGGTAAGTATTTGAGAATAATTATTTTCTTGATGATCAAAGGCTAAAGGCACAGCTGAAACCTACCTTTGATATTCTAAAATTTGCTTAAAACTGTTTTTATTTCAGCAGTTAATAATGACACTAGAAAGAGAAAAAATTAGTTTAACACTCAAAATCAAATAAATTATACACTGAATCTTAGCTTTTCAAAAAATATTTAGAGCTATTTAAGTTTTAATTATGGAATGTGATATTAAAATGTAAAGGCTCTTCATGGTGTTAATATTATAGTGCTGACCCTGAAATTCAAATTAGGCCTTTTCAAATTTCGTCTGAATTTGAATCTCTATCCTAAAAGTTAGTCTAGTGAAATTTGTAAGTTAAAAAAAAATACATTCTGTTTTGTCCACATTAAGTTTTTACAAACTCCTACTTGTAATTATCTACAGGATGCTGCCGTGGGAAGGAGGAGCTAAGGCCTAAAGTCTAAAACAAAGACAACAACAATAAAAAGTCCTCCGAAAGAGAGAAGGAAATTTTACATTTTACACAAACGAAGATCAAAAACCCAAGTTTCGAGTTTTGGGATCTGATATCTTTCTTGTTCTAAGTACACAATGTTCTTTTAAACAAAATAATCAAATGTCAATCCCTTTATTTATTAGTCAAAAATGACGTTTATCTCCTTCAAAATGCTAGTTTCTTGCCGTAAATGCCACAAAGAATGAAATTCCTAACTTACATTTTATGTTCATCTCACTGTACACTTGGCACTGGTGCCATGGGGCAGCACGTTGGGACTCTGTCACTGGCATCTTATATGGGCACCAGAAGATGGCCCACATTCTTGAGCACTTGCACCTACGTGGGAGACCCAGAGGAAATTGTTTGGCTTCCAACCAGCTTAGCTCTGGCTGCTGTGGCCATTTTGGAAATGAACCAGCAGATGGAAGATCTGTCTATCCCTCTCTCTGTATAACTCAACCTGTCAAATAAAGATAGAATACAATAAAATAAATACTAAATAACAGGATTAACATAGTAATTTTTCAAAAAGCCTTGGTAAGTGAACCATTAGGGTTATCTCTGAGATTCTTGTTAGAGGTAAGTGGACTCCACCAGGTAGTTAACTTTTTATCTTGTGGACTAAGCTGATCAGAGTCCTACACCGAAACAATCATTTCCGATGCTGATTTACACATTTCCCCTCTAAAACAGAAATCCACTTACCTGTTTACTGAAGAATTACGGACTACCGAATAAAGTTTCTTCCAAAATTTCTTCTATATTTGCTATTTCAAAAAGCAAGATCTTTTTTAATTTTTAATTTATCCGGGACAAATCTATGTCTAATATCAGGTAACACACACCACGGTATGACTCACAGCACAGCTCTTTGAAATAAGGATTTGTGTAAAACTACATTCCCATGTGATGCCAGGTTCTTAAGAGTCTTGACAGGCACACCATCCACAATCACTTACAGAGGAATAGTAAAGGAAGTACTCAGTACGGATCAGCTCAAATCATCTTCAACTATTCCAAGGGCAAGAATGAGTAATAGAAGTCCAGCTCTCGCAGTCAATGGCCTGTATTTGTAGCAGTAACTTTAACCAGGTTTAGGATAAAAAAGAAAAAAAAAAAAAGACTACATTACAAGGATACAAGCTACTTATGGGAAAGAGCAAAAGATTTAACTAGTGGATAATCACTAGAAAATTCCAAATTGATTTTTACTTAAAGTTTTAGTTATAATATGAAAAGCAATTTCTCAGATTTCAATGCTATAGTATTTAACTCAGAAAAATGTTCAAAAGGGAAAAATAATTTGTTTTAAATGGTAGACTGATATTAAGTATATCTGAAGTTATTATATGCCTGATATATATATACAGTTAAACTGGTTAGTGTATAGCAATGGATACTGCCATATATCCACAACTAGCTCACTTTTTCAAAGAATATGAAAAGTATATGCTTTCTCCCTAGAATCTGGAAAATTCAGGATTATACCCAGTAAAGACTTCATCACAGGACAAATGATAATCTTTTTTGTTTTTGAAACTGACAAATGGAAATTTTAAGAGTTGCAGAGTAAGAGTTAAATTACATGACTCAAATTTTTTGAATTGTAATTCCACAAATTTAGAGTTAAGTAGAACTTCAGCTTTGTAGGGTTATCACATGCATACATAGTGGAATACAGGCACAGAAACTTGTCATTTTTATTTGGATAACAAAGGGTCTCCAAATTATACTGAAAAATAAATCCTAATTATCACTCTTGTAAAAAAAATTAACACACTTTTCACAAATGATTTATGTAAAAGAGAAGAAAATACACATAATTTTTTTTATAATATCTTAAACTTTTTTATTCCCTACTATAGACAGTAATTTTGTCTTTTGTTTTCTCTCAGGTTTCTACAATTTCCAACATTTACCTGTATTTAATACTGCTTTACTCTGCTAAAGACAATAACTGATCGCTTTCCTAAATCTAAGGATTATATAGTTTTAGTATAAATATATATCACATATTTTCGTAAAATTTTGACAAAACCGAATAAGCATGCCTTGCTTTAAGTCCATGCTCCTTCCACTGTTTATAAAATCTGATTTAATGATCAAAAATTCTTGGTTGTAACTCTTCAGTTATAACAGTCTTCTTCTGCGCTGCCACTCACTTTTTACATAATAACAAGCAATAGAAAAACCAAAGAAATTATGTTCATCTTAGTTCTTCCTTTTGACACTATAAACTAATGTGAACTCAAGAAAAAAATAAAACAAAATACATCCAAAACTCAATACATTCAAATGAGCCTAGTTCCTTTAAGGTAGTCACCTTTGGAAGGCCACAGTTCATTCTTTGAACTATAACTGCCACTGCTCAAAATATCTTTATAAAACTCTTCTGGTGTTGCTTGCAGACATGAGCATACTTTCTGCATTACCTCAGATTTTATTATTGGAAACTGTCAAAATGATGATAGCTAGAAACAATCAGCTTCGTAAAAAAATGTTCTTTTTCTTTTTTAAACAATGCATAATCATAAAGGTATTACACTGTGTATGAGTTAACTTTGAATGCAATTATAAAAGAGCAAACCCAAGAGGTTTCGGGCAATGGTAAACTGCTGGCATCAGGAAATAACCTTCCAGCAAGATCACTATGCAAGGTAACATTCATTTAGCTGTCTATGTTCTGGCATATTTGTTTAAATATGAGACATTCTGAGTTAGAACTTACTCTTTTTAAAGGAATATCATTTAAAAAAAGAATTTTTGTTAGGAAGTCGTTCTCCTTACTTCGTCAATAAAGACTACTTATAAACTTGAAAGCAAATAACCACAACTTATTTGCCCCCGGCTTTTTAAAATCAACTGAATATAAAACAGCTTGAGACTTCTAAGGTACTAAGAAACAAAACAATCCCAAAAGTAATGAAAACACATCAAGAACCAAACTACAACTTCTGAGCTGCACTGTTTATTTTGCTGCTTGAAACCTAAGTGACAGTATGCCACTATAATTATGGGGTTTCATCTAAACCTTTACTACACTGCAGGTACAGAAATATATGGACACATTTTTGGAGAATTGACATTTTGCAAAATGCAGCAAACATTTCCATTTATACATGAGAAAAGGAAGTGTTCAAAAGGGTATGCGTTTCAAGTTATTGCAGGTTATTTGTGAGAGAATTTCTGCAGGTAAAACATGTTTAAATTTAACCAACAGTAGCGTGTCAGTGTATTTAAAATCATGACAAAAATCTTCTCTCTGGTCATGTTGCCCACGACAAATTACTATGATGTTGTATGTTTAGGGCAAGATGTCAATACAGCATAAATCCCATGGTATTTTGGTTTTCTTCTGGAGATTAAAGCTGTTTTTCTTGGGATAAATGCAGCAGCAAAACACAAACCAGTTGATCAAAAAAGCACTTCTGCCATAACTCCAATAAATTTCAGGACACATCAACCGACAGTAGTTTTGCCATTCCCAGTTCAAGGTTTACATTTCTGCACTGTTGCCTCGAGGATGTCTGTCAAAGCCTGTTCTGTTATGCCAGTTTACTGACGACAGCCTGGTTGAGAGAATTGAGTTGGTTGGTCCATTTGTCTAGTGCAGTATACCGTGCACCTCCCCTCTTCTGATGATCCAGTTCAAGGAGCTGGTTGACTTGATCAATTCGGCCATGAATAGTGCTAGAAATAAAGGAAAGCATTTCTACTAACAATTTTCATTAAGCATAATTACTGATTAGTGTTTCATCAAGTATTGCTACTGCTGGAACAGGCATTGTTGTGTAGTGGATTAAGTCCCAGCCTGAGATGCCCTGAAATTCATGTTAGACAGCTAGTTAGAGTCTCAGTGCCTCCTCTTCTGATCCAGCTTATTGCTATTGCTACTGCTACCGCTACTACTAAAAGCAGCCACTACTGCCCCTGGGAAGCAGGTGATGGCTCAAGTGCTTAGTTCAAGGCTGGCTCAACCCCAGCTGTTGAGGGTACTGAGTGAACCAGCAGACTGAACATCCATGTCCCACCAAGCCCCCTTTCAAAAATAGTAACTAAACTTTAAAAAAACAAAAACTGCTATCTACATTAAATGAGTTAAACTTCAGCACAATGTTTTACCAAAACCTGAGTCAAAAACAAGATTTCAGTCACCTTTTGTCAGTTTCATTGAAAGAACCACCACACATAAACTTACCGAATTATCAAAGGCAAATATCAACTGTGAAGCTTTAAATAATATACTACAGATAACTTCTAAACTTTTATCAACCAGAGCATTAAACAAAACTATTATCCATTAAAGAATCCTTTCAACTGTATAAAAGGCATTTACTGAATAAGAAATCCTTCTGAAAAAATATTTCAAACTTTCCAGAGACATGTTTAATATGCTCATTCAGTGATCAAAAACTGTCAAAAGATCTTCTAATCAGAGTCAGTGTTTTCTATGAAAAACAAAGAATTCAACTGCCAACTCATTATTTAAAATTTATGGTCTGAAACATTCTGTGGTTTTTACAAAACAGTAAAGTACTTACTTATCCAATATGCACTGTACCAGCAAGCTCTCCACATCAGCTACATCTATGTTTAACTCCTAGGATGAAAGACTTATTACTAACATTTTAAAGATTTAATAATTATATAATCATTTTGATTTTAAAGTCATTTCTAACACCTACAGGAAAATTAGTGAAGATTTTAAAATAAATTCCATTATCATTGTACAACATCTCTGAAGACCCAAGTTAAAGATTTAACTTTGTAACTTTTGAATTATTTTCCTTATTTCAATTTTATTGTAGTTAAGACAGATTCTTTATCAATAAAATATTTTAGCCACTACCTTCACTTGTATACTTTTCTCAGGCTAAAGGAATATTTAAGACAAAATTTATTGAATTTCAATTTCTTTTTGTTACAATGCTAAGTGCTTTTGAGTTAGTTCATTTTATATCAAGAACAAAAATACATATCAAGTCAATTTCTAGAAGAAGGTAAGTATGGTTACCTTTTTAGAACTGTATATGAACCACATGAAATCTGTTTATATCATATAAATTTATATAAAGAATTCAAAAAGAAAAGTTTAGACCTACTTACTTAAATAATGCAATATTATAAAATGTTACCAAATTTACTGCATTTATTAACTACAAATTAGAAATATCATTAAAATCCAAGAACATAAGTACCTTAGAAATAAAAGGAATATGTATTCTTGTGTAAGGCTTAATTAACTTTATGAGCACTTGTGTTCTGATGTTTCGCAAAAGCTCTGAAAGAAAAGACAAAAATTAAACCATCTGTATTTAGCAGTTTGGTGTCTTTGTGACTCAACTATCACAAATATCTGTGGTATTACACATTTGTGAAATACTACTATTTCTAAATCACAGTAATCATGCACACCTCTGATTTCTCAAAGTACATCTTTCTGCTGTGCAAGACCCTGACGTGTTTAGGTCTGGAAACTTTGTGAGTCCATGGCTACAGACATCTCTCCCATGGTTTCTTGTTTCTACCTCCTGATTTCTTACACATTCAACTCGGACTAAAGTATTTTGTCTTCCCAGTAAGATTCCACCAATCATTTCCTTAATAGTCAACATGCTTTAAGAGGCTGATTTACACCAGCCAAGTTCCTTGTTTCATACTCTCAATATTCATATCTTATACAATGCTTTTATATACTCAGTCTCTTCACAATTGTTTTTTAATTGTTTTGTTTTTGATGGTTTGTTTTTTAATTTTTAAAAATTCTATTGGATTTCATGGACAATGAGTCTATATTTTTCTATGTCTGTGAAGTACAGTTTCATTCCAGATTCATATCAGGACTTGTAAAATGTCTGTTACATGACAAAGAAATGAAGTTAGGGAACAATAAAATACGGCCTCTGAAGTATCCTTCAGATTTTACTGATATGTGATCTAAAAATCGTAAAAAAGGAAAAACTCCTTTGTAAGAGGGAGCATAAAGGAGTGACTTTCATCCTTGGTAACTTGACAACACTTACTACAAATTTTACTCACGGACTAACATGAATCTACCCCAATGTCAACCTGAACTTTTGTGGTAAAAGAGCTCAGCCTACTAACAGCAGGGTATTTTTCAATGCCTTTGTTATTTGTCAACTCTAAATCCTAAATATATATTCTGTAAGCAACAATAAACATGCTACCGTGTGTAAGGGGACAGACACAACAATATGCTCACATCAAGGCAGAATCAATTAGTGGATTGTTCCAAACTGCTATATCGTTTTAAGGGCCTCCTATTTCATGGCAGTGTTTCTGTACTTTGTATGAATTTCAGCTCTATTAAGCATTGGTTTGACAGCAACAAGGAAATAGAATTCCGTTAGTACAAAGAGTATACCTTCAATGTGTTCTCTTATGAAAGGATCATCCATGATGTTGCTGTGATTTGTTTTCAGAATCTTTTCAAATTCAGTGATGTCATTATTCTGATAGGCACTAACAAAAGAAAATGTAAACTGTCAAACATGAAAACGTCATTAAAATCAGACAATCTGAAGTGCCTCTTTCTTAATTTTCATATACAGAAATCTAAAGTATATTGTTTCTGTCTCTGAAATTAGCATTATACGCACAAGCACATCATTTTATGCTCCCTCCCCTCAAAAAAGAATTTTCTTTCTAGTTCTTTTGCTTTTTAAAAAGACTTATTTATTTTACTTGAAAGAGTTAGCAGGAGGAAGAGAAATCTGAAAATCTGCTGGTTCACTCCTCAAATGCTTGCAATGGCCAGAGGTGGGCTGATCTGACGTTGAGGGCCAGGGACTGCTTTCCACAGGAGCCCAAGCATCAAGGCATCCCCTGCTGCACTCCAGACTATCAGCAGGGAGCTGGATCAGAAGTGCAGTAGCCAGGACTGGAGCTGGCACCAAAGAGATGCCAGCACTGCAGCTGGAGAATTAGCTTTCTATGGCACTGTGCCAGCCTCTCTTCTGCTTTTTAAATGATTGAATAAATCTTTTTTGGGGTTATACTGTGTTTTTACATAGGCAATTAAAAGCATCTCAAAATCTTCAATTTTAAGATAACAAAACTTCTATTGAGCAACATCTGATTTCTAAAAATAACTATTAAACAGTTTTGAAAACCAAATACTTTTAAATTAAATTTAATCATTTAAAAATCTACTTTAGAGAGGCAGAGCAAGAGTTCTAACCAATGCCCTAATCAGGGCCAAAATGAAGAAGCAAGAACTTAATCCAGGATTCCCACATGGGTGGCAGGAGCCATCACTGCAGCCTCCCTGGTTTGCCTTGCAGGAAGATGGAGGGAGGCGGCAGAGCCAGGCACTAAAACCAGGTGTCTTCACAGCTAAGCAAATCTTACATCGTAATTATTAACAGAAGAAACCAGGTTTCATGCACATTACTATCTGGAGGACTAATGCCTTGTCTTTAAAATAATAAAGTATATCTTTTCTGAAGGTTATTCACAAAAGCAGGTTTCTAATTTTCATCTTCCAGAGAGCTATCATAAACTGCCAAAACTTTAAAAAAAAAAACAAACTTCAATTTCAGGTGTCTCTAGCCTTAAAATCACACCAAATATTGTAACAGAAATATCAATAGCAGAAAATTAGCACCAAGTGGGCACACACAGTAGAGTGATAGAACTCCCTGTCGCAGAAGGCTGACTTATGTTCCTCATTTCCCTGAGGCATCTAATACCTACTCCTGAAAGCACTCTGTACGGCCCTATGGGGAATGTCAAGGTGCTGCGAAGGAAGAAGCCAACCTTCTGGATATGGCACCACTGTCTGCTTTTTATGTAAGACATATCACAGCCATTCTGCACGCTCTCTGATGGGCTTCCATCTGTTGGGTCGCAATGCAACTTCATGTTAGGGGCAGGTGATTCAAGTGCTTCAACAGGAATTATTTTCCTCTAGACTGCTGGCAACTGACTAGGAAGATAAAATTAGGAAGTATTACATTTTTACCTGTTCCAAATACATTCACCCAATATACTGTATGAGGAGATACTCAAATAATATTGAAAACAGTTGCACATAAGTACATTTTACTTCAAATACGCACATACTATATTTTAACCATGAGATATTATTCCATTGCAGCAGTGGTGTTTATTTACTTATTTATTTTTACAGTTTTATATAAAATTTGGGGACATCATGGATCACTTGTTTAGGAAAAAATTTATCACTAAATTAAGCTCTTAAATTCACTGGCATAAACAGCCAGATGTTAACATACATATATAGAAACCGTACTTTTTAGTGGACAGCAATCCAGTCCGCAAATCCAAGTTAATCTAATCAATTTATTTGCATAAAATATCAATGTCTACAGAAAAACCTTTCCTCAATAATTCAAAATGTTTTAAAAGTGTAAACTGTTGAATGGCAATTTAACACCATAAAACATTAAAAAGCATATTGAAGCTAATTCCTAACTAAATTAGCTTTTGCTAAGATGGCCAGATGTAGATAGAATATGCTGTTCATAATAATGATGGAGAAGTTACTATTCATGACTAAAATTAACCTAAACCAACAAACACATATTAAACTAGAACAAAGTGGTAAAGAAAGATTGATTTAATATCGCAAGTTAGGAGTTTATACCTCAAATATTCTTAGTCTCCCTCCTCAAAAAATTTTGTCCTAAAGCTAAAATTAAAATGTCTTTAAAATCAGAATCTAGTAAATTGTACAACTAATGGCCAATAAAAAGAAAATAAATCAGAATATTGTACATAAGAATTTCACATGATGAAATAACCTATTTCCCCCAAGTTCATAATCTACATATAGGTAGCTCATGATTTATATGTTTAGTAGTATTTTCAAATGATAAAATACTAGTAAGAAATGTTTAATCATCTAAATTATCTACATATACCTGCAAGCAAAACAAAAAATTTTGCCCTAACTACATTTTCCCAGTTGTGACATACTCAGCTGTATAACTTCAAAAGGACTTAAAAAAACCCTTAGACTTGTTTTACTTTTCTTCAAAGAAAGCCACTCTAAAGAACACCGTTTCTTCCAAGCACAGAGCAGTTTTCTTTGCTCAACTGGTATCTTTTGCAAAAATGAGCCTGATCTAGAGGTTTTTTGGTTTGGACTCACAATTTTGTTTAACATTAATTAATTCTGGCAGGTTCTTCAATGGTTCAACATCTTTCTCCAAAGATATATTCAACGGGGCCTGGCATGATGGTCAATGGCTAAATCTTAACCTTGCAAGTGCTGGAATCCCATATAGACACGGGTTCTTATCTTTGCTCCTCTACTTCCCATTCAGCTCCTTGCTTATGGCCTGGGGTAAGCAGTGGAGGATGGTCCAATGCTCTGGGACCCTGCACCCACATGGGACACCCAAAGAAGCTCCTGGCTCCTGGTTTTGGATGGGCCTGGGTCCGGCCATTGCAGCCATTTGGAAAGTGAACCTGCAGATGCATTTTTGTTTCTCCTCTCTGTAAATCTGATATGCTTTTCTAATAAAAATAAATCTTAAAAACAAAAAAAAATATTCAATGAATCTTTGAATAGTAACTCTCTTGCTTTCCCATCTTCCACCTCAGCAAGGAATTTGGGGTAATACTTTAAAAAAATATTTTCCACCTGTCATTCAAAATTTCATTTTGGAATAGGGTAGGTAGAGGTAACAAAGGTTGTAAAGCAGTGTTTTAAGATATCTACAGGGCCTGGCGGTGTGGCCTAGTGGCTAAAGTCCTCGCCTTGAACGCACTGGGATCCCATATGGCTGCCGGTTCCAATCCTGGCAGCTCCACTTCCCATCCAGCTCCCGGCTTGTGGCCTAGGAAAGCAGTCAAGGACGGCCCAATGCTTTGAGATCCTGCACCCCTGTGGGAGACCGAGAAAAAGTTCCTGGTTCCTGGCTTTGGATCGGCACAGCTACGGCCATTGCGCTCACTTGGGGAGTGAATCATTCGACAGAAGAGCTTCCTCTTTATCTCTCCTCCTCTCTGTATATCTGACTTTGTAATAAAAAAAAAAGATCTACAATTAGTTTTCCACTGATAAAAGCAGGTATGCATGTATGCATGCACATATACACGGATTAGATACATATAAATAAGAAAAAAACAAAGATAATGTAACAAAAGCCCTCAGGAGATTAAAAAATTGATTAACTGTCATAGGTGTGGATGTAGTGGTTAAGCCAATGGTTAGGATGCCAACCCTAGTGGGATACCGAGATTTGATTCCAGAGTCTCTTTATATTCAGGTTTTTTTGCATATGTACACTCTGTTAAGTCGCAAGTAAATGGCTCATGTAGGTAGGTCCCTGCCAGTACATGGAAGTTACGGATTAAGTTACCAGCTACTAGAATTGGCCTGGTCCAGCCTTGGCCACTTTGGGCATTTGGGAAGCAAACCAGCAGATAGGAGATCTCTGACTCTTTGTTTCTCTACTCTCAAATATAAAAACAAATGAAAATAGTTTAAAACTACAAATATTTACATATTTCATCTGAAAACACTAAAGAGTAAATATCAAATACTAAATGAATTCTGGAAACTTCCTTCTTACCTTACTAAATTCGTCATTGCTAGAATTTCTGGATCATTTTTATACGGCTTGGCCTAAACACAGTAAAAAAAAAGAAATACATGTCTATGTACAAAAAAAAAAGCATTTGTCTCCAGAAAACGAAATTAATAAAAGAAATTAACAATTAAAATACACACCTCTTGTGAGTCAAATGGGTTTATTCCCGATTTCATTAGCATGTTTGCTAACACCAAATATTTTAAGCAAGTGGTTCTTCTTGGACTTCCTGATTCATCATAATTCTTAAAGGCTTCAAAAAAATCAGTGTGTGCCTTTTCAAATTCACCTTCTCTCAAGTGCATTTTACCACCACATTCTGTAAAGAACAAATCACAAGAAAAGTTTTGTAATATGAAGATTAATCACTTTATAAAGATGAAAAAGAAAGTATTACAGTGGCTTTCAGTCTTTAATTCTGTATCTTGAAAACTACTGGCTCCAGGTTATACACATTTAGTCAGTAATCTTAAACACATCATTATAATTCTGGAACAGGACTTAGGATAAAGTAAATTTTCTATTAAGAATCTTTACTGCTGTAAAATTCAAAAGATGAGAATTCATCCTAATTTCTAAGATTAGAATTTCTAATTTCTAGACTTCATTGATTTCAATACATCAGCCAGTTATTTGCAATGAAACAGAAGCAGTAACAGAGCTGCAAAATCCCATGCTCTGGCATGTGACACTGCCTATCATCACCCACCCCCCACAATCATACTTGCCTCTGATGACTCCCATGATCAGGGGGTGAGGGATGGCAGACTTGATGTGAAGTGATTGCTCATACAATGCTTTGAGTTTTTTGTTATTTTTCTGTGCTGTGTACATCTGAATTTCCAAAGCATATATTTCTAATAACTGTGTACCTTTCTTCAGGTCATCTTCTCCATCATCAGTCTAAGAAAGCAAATACTTTCATTTAGTCAAAACAGAATTCGCAGACAATTTGGTAATTTTTACAAGTATTTGATTTAGTCTGGGAATTTCATTCTTTTTGTGCAAAAATGCATGCCAAATGTTATTTTGGAACTACAGTATTAAGACAACACTTCAACAACAACAAATGGATCCATGCGTCCTTTCTACCTTTTAGTTACTGGAAGGTAAAGTGACCAGAAAGGTTTTTTTTAAATTGCTCAGGTTTTTTCTTAGAATTTTATTTATGATCTTGCCCAAATATCCACAATTGTTTTAGATTCACTTATTCAATTACAAAAAACACCACAGAACAAAAATAACAAAACAACACTGCTGAGTGTCATCCACGTGCCACTGAGCTTAACCTGAAGGAATACAGTTATTTCCTAAGTCAAAAGTTCCTCATCTCAAATACTTTCAAGAGATCAATTATGATTCCAGCTGAAGCATGAACCAAGTACCTGGAAAAATGGAAGAAAAAGGACTAATTCACCTGGTAGATGTCAAACGGATCAAAATGTGGTGGCATACCAGCTATACTACGAGGGATAACCAACCAGAAGCCCACATAATGAGAGCCATGAAAACAGCACATACTCAAGAGATATCCAGAAACATCAGACACTGCTATACACTATGCAAACACTTGCTTATTGTGTCTTCCAACTAAAAATTGTTTAGTTTTTACTAATAATGATCAGTGTAAAATCTTTACATCTGGAATTCCATCTGTCTCTGGCTAAAAATAATTCCATCAAAATATTAAGAACTATACTGCTAATCCAGATATTATGTCCTTATGTTGCTAGGGAAACCAGCCAAACGTTCTCCATAGGGCTTTACGTATACCTTATGTATACTGAAAGACACTCTTTTATTTAGGTCATTTTCACTTTACACGGATCTGAAGCCACAGTTGTTTGAGAACCAAATAATACATTCCTAAGAATGTATAGATAGTAAATCATTTAAAATAACTTATTAAAAGAAAATATTGCACATAATCTGTTTAGAATAAGTTCCTAATCATTTCCCTCTTTATAAAAACAACTATATAGTATTAAAATAATAGTTTGGAATATCAAATAGCATTTCTTTGTAAAATTTAAATATCAAATGCCTAATTTGATCAGAACAAAAAAAAGAAATGGAAATGAGAATCTACAGTTATAAAGTACTGACAACCATATGGCTGTTCAAATCCAAATTCATTAAAATTAAAACTCAGTTTCCCTGTTACTCTGGCCGCATGTCAAATGTGTGATAGCTACAAGCAGTGTTGGTACCACTACACTGCTAGCGTTGACACAGCCTTCTTTATTTTTTCAGTATCACTTGAACTTCTGTGCAGTGCTGCTATAGGCTCTATGTATCATAAATTGCAATACTACATATGTTTATAACAGATGTTTACAACTTGTCCTATTTTTATAGTGTGTAATTAAATGTCAAGTTTTTTTTTTTTTTTTAAAGAAACAGGGCTGGGAGTGGAAGGGAAATGAAGGGGGTGAGAGAGAGGAAAATGGAGGAAGGGAGAGGGAGAAAGAGAGATCTTTCATTCACTGGCTCACTCCCCAAATGGCTTTAACAGCCAGATCTGGGCAAGGGTGAAGCCAGGAGGCAGAAATTGCATTCTTACCCTATTCTCCCATATAGGTGGCATAACCTGCTTGCCCCAAGCCAGGTCCATCAACATTTTTTCTTTTTCTTGTTTTTTTTTAAACTTATTTATTTCATTATTTTACGATTCAGTTCCATAGGCTATGGAATTTTCTTTTTGCCCTCTCCAAATTTTCTATCCCTCCCCACAGATTTCCCCTAGAGTCCTTCATAAGCAGTCCTAAGCCCATCATTCTAACATTTAAGCGTATCCTGACACTGCAGGTATGGACAATAGCAGAGAATCCAATATCCTATTGTCAAGATACATTTAACAGTTTCATTGTGGGTCCATTTTCGATTTGGAAGTTGAGATGCATGCTGCATTGTATCCTCACATCTGGATATGACAGTGTCTATTATACTGTTACTTTACATCCCCTTGAATCAAAAGCCATAAAACAAAATCAACAACAGGAAGAAAAACAAAGTTTATAACAACAAGAAGTTAAATATGACTGACCTGGTTGCTCACTGATACCTGTAACTCATTTCACAGGAGATGACGACTGGAAGTTAGGATTATAACACAGAGTGCAACTTTTTAGGAAGAGCAGCACTTCAGCTTATCTTCCAAATGCCACTTTCGGTTGATGTTTTGGGCAAAATATCCCTAAATGATCTCCAAATACAATTATTTCTATTTTATGTTAAGAAAAAATAAGATAACACTCTACCTGGCAGGACTGATGTAACTGGCGTAAAATTTTTTGAAGCTTTCCATATTCTTCTCGCTCTAAATATAATTTTCCAAGCTGTAAGAAAAAAAAATTATTAAAGTTGAAACATTTCAACAGAAGGTGTTAATCTTTAGAAGATATTAAGGAAAACCACCCACTCTTCAGAAGAAATACATTTAAGTAATTATATAACTGTTACCTTTGTGTTTGTCTTAAACCACAGTCTATCATTCTTAGCATCTTTCAAAGCTTCCAGTGTTGTTTCATAGAATTCCTGCAGTAAATCCATCTGACATAAAAAATCAGAATTCTATAATTGTAAACAGCAAATTTGTACCTGTTAATAAAGTTTATTTGAGCAAACTAAAAGTGCATCTTTGAACTTCAATAATTTCAATACATATAAGATACACTATCTGTATCTCACCAACTGTCTTCTAGCCCCCTTAATGAACAAAACTGAAGCAAAATATAGATTATAGAATACATGTCAAAACCTGTTTTCCTATTTATAAAACTCAGAAAACATTTTCCCACCACAACTTCTAGTTGTGGGAAAACCACAACTATAGTGCTATAACTTCTAGTGTTGTAACAGCATTGATTTGCCCTTCTAATCAAATCAGCTCATACACAAGTAAATGATGTGCTGCACCCTTAACACTGTATATACCACTAACTGAACTCTCATCTAATATCTGCACGATGCTGAAAAAAAACAAAAACAAAGAATGAACTCCTTCCCCGAAATTTGTTTTTACAAACAGACTACCTACTGACAGTTTTTAGTCACTGATAAGCCTTGAAGCTGGGTGGAAAAAGTCTAGTTTAATTTCAGTTCCAAGTGTACCATTTTCCCCCTAGGTTTGCTCTATTTACTTTTCTGCCCACTCTCCTTTCCCTATTTCTAGCTCTGCTTTTGTTAACTATGCCCACCTTCCTTCTACTGTTATTCTTTGTTTGACTATGATTCTCACAGTCTCTACCCAGTAGGATCAAGAAGTACAAGAGCCGTGAGAAGGAAAGATACGTGCTTTAGGAGAGGCGGCCTATCTACTCATGACTACTGCTGGAGTACAGAGCAAGTCAGAGCAGCACTCAGCCAACATTTATTCTTTCGAAGTTAAAAAAAAGCTTATATATAATAGCACTTAGAACATATCTTCACATTTTAGAATCACAATCATTCCCCAACATTAGATATAACATCGATAAACAGTATTTAAAAAAAATGTATGAGAATACCTGTTTGTTAAGGCTCGGCAAACATTTTCTCATTTAAGAAAGTCTCATAATAACCCTTAGTGCTACTGAGGGTGAACATTCACATTATATACATTTTAAATGTAAAGACTTGAGAGAAAATATCTCAAGAAATTAAAATGAAATCTAATACAAAACACAGTGAGAGGCTGATCCTGTAATGAACATGTTGAGTACAAAAAGTATCAAATGTCCTGAGAAATGTAGAATAGAGAACACACCTTGAGCTTAAACACCATAGAGTAAGAAAACTCAAGTTTAAGACTATATCATTTAAGAGAACCTTCACAGGGGCTGGTGCTGTGGTACAGTGAGTAAAGTCACTGCCTGCAATGCCAGCACACCTGTTAGAGTTCCAGCTGCTCCATTTCTGATCCAGCTTCCAGTGGATGCCAGTGTTTCTTTCTCCTTCTGTTTCTTATTCTTTCTTTGCCTTCTTAATTTAAATTTTTATTTAATTCTTTCCCATATTTATCTTCATTTGAAAGGCAGATTTAGAGAGAAGGAGATTGAGTGAGATTTTCTAGCCCCGGGTTCATGCCCCAAAGAGCTGCAATGATTGGAGTTGACGTGAAGCAAGGAGCCAGGATCTTCTTCTGGGTCTCCCATGAGGGTGTATGGTCCCAAGCACTTGGGCCATCCTTCACTAGTTATCCAGGCCATAAGCAGAAAGCTGGATGGGAAGTGGAGCACTCAGGACATGAACCAATGCCTATAGGGGATGCTGGTGCACAGAGAGGGAGAAATTAGCCTGCTGTGCAATGGCTCTATAGCTCTGCCTTTCAAATGAGTAAGTCTTTAAAAAACAAAAACAAAACTCAAACAAAACCCACAAATGATCTAATTATTTAATAACTTCAGTCAAAAATATATATAGGAATCAATGTTTTCTCTAACAATAAAAATCTAGAACAATGAAAGTAATATCACTCCCAGTGTTTCTTTTAGTTTTTTGCACCAGTAGCCCTTCTTGTCATCATTGCTCATCCATTCCTTTACTGAGGACGTACTGAGTAACGTCAAGCACTGATAGGAGCTTAGGCTTTTCTCAGGGATTTTAACCTAATGACAGACACATCAGTAACCCATGACTGATTGTTAACTACTTCAGCCTCTCAGTGGCTGGCTGACATGGTGATGGGGCTCATTAGGAGGGATGGTGATAGTGACTGCATGGAATCTAACATTCATATAAGCATGCAAAAACAATTTGTGATATCTGAAGATATTTAAAGATATTAGGTTGGAGTTATTACCTTTAAATGTTACACAATTCTATACTCATGAAACTACATATTACTTCTAAACTATTCTGATAACTCGCACAACTGACTGAAGAGAACCTCTAGGCTTTTGTTTTTTTAGCAACAAAGTTCATTATTACAAATAATCACATTGATGGTACCATAAAGGAAATATTGGGTCTAACCTGTTTAGAAGTGGAGATATAATCAAGAATAGAATTAATGGATTTTTCAGAATAATTTCTTGTGACTGCACTCCGAATATAGGTCAATAGCTGTTTATATCTATTCATCATTTCTGGAAAGTTTGTCTGTGATTGAAGAAGAAAGCATTATTAGATACATGTTTAGATGCCAAAATAAGCACACATAATTAAATTATCATATATACAAATACATAAATGAAATATAGTTCATATAGTTTATAATAATTATATGAAGGAGAAACTATGTACTAGATCACATACTATATAAAAACATTATAGACATTGTATCTTAAATTTGAAATATTACTCATCCATAAATTAAATGTGTAAGTTCAACTATGAAACATGTACAACAACTTACATAAACTCTTCAAATTTCACACATTGTTCCTCACTGAACAATACATTTTTGTATGTGACAAAAACTAATAAAACTCATAGACCCACAGCTGTCAAGACCAACTGTTCAGATATCTGGGTCATTAGCTACATGGGCATGAGCCACCCCCACCCCAAGGAGTTATGTCTTCATTAGGAGGCTCTCTAATGAGACTGGCATGTTTTCATTCTCCCCGCCACGGGTTGTCTGTCACTGCATAAAAATGTGAAGTGGAAGAATCTCTTGAAGCCCCAGGACTCAATGCAAGAAAAATCCTCCCACTGAAGGCTGTATAGTCAACAATAGATGAGGTTGCTCCTCCTTTCCTGACTACCCCCATTACCATTACTTTCGGTTCTGGAGCTGGTGCTGTGGTGTACCCCGTTAAACTTCCACCTATAGCACTAGCACCCCATAAGGGCACCATTGAAACCTGGCTGCTCCACTTCTGATCCAGCTCCTTGAGAAAGTGGAGCACGGCTCAAGTCCTTGAACCACTGTACCCACGTGGGGGGCCTGAAAGATGCTCCTGGCTCCTGACTGTCCCTGATTTGGCAGCTGCAGTCATTTAGGTAATGAACCAGTTTAAGTCTTAAGAAAAAAAATTGGTTTCTCTCCATTTCTTTCATCAGGAAGATGAAGTACTGGCAGATAAGTGTATTTATGCCCTTTTTCCTAACTGAGCATATGTGGTTACTAGAGGAATAAAATAATAAAGTAACTTTTCTGCTTATGACAATATTGTGTCACGGAATACAGCAAGAGAGACAAGAAAACATAAGAATTATTCCTGGAACTTCTAAGTAGGCTGTGATTTACAAAAAAACACACAAAAATAGTAGTGGAAGTAGGTGGAAAAAATGGATAGAACCACTGCAAAAACTTTAGCATGTGCATTCTCTGTATTTCTGTCTCTCAATTACATAAATTTCCTGTGTGGGAAAGTAACAGATAATATTCTATGAGTGAGCAACTAAAATACATAAAATATTATAGGATGCACCTTACAGAAAAAGGGAAATCAGAGAATGCCCCAACTCTTAAGATTTGATCTTGCTACAGAGAAAATAATTTTAGCAAAAAGTTACAATTCTGAATTTATCTCCTTAACCTACAACTTTAAAGTTAGCTTTCTGAAGATTATGTTTTATCAATAAAGACTGAAGGATGATCGGGTAAATCAGCTTTATATGCCGTAATGAAGAAATAGAGAAGTTGATAAAGAACTCTTTGATGTTTCATTGTTTGAAGCAACTACCTGGTAATTTGGGTTCTACAGTGAATCCAACTAAAAAGTGGTGGGGATTGGACATAAACCACTCTTATAAATCATAACATATTCATAGATGCCCCAGAACAGATCAAAACACAGATAAGAAAATCACAATATAAAACACAACTATATCCTTTATTTCTCTGTTTTTGCTCAACATAAAAGTGGAAAAACCAAGCCTCATAAAAGTAACATACTGTTCAAATGGACTCAAAAACTGAAGCTACAGCTAGTGTGTTAAGACAGCAAATTTTACAGGAACACTAGATATTTCAAATTTGCCTCTTAATGTCATTACACTTAAGCTTATTTAAAAACTTTTGCTGCTTAAGACTCTTGGTAGTTCTTCCCACAAACCCTGTAAGTTATTATACTAAATATAGTAAATATTTGTAATTAATATTTCCACACGCAAAAGCAGAAAGGAAAGTACAGGGATTCTGTGCATCATAAGATACTCTGAAATTCAGAGGAGGAGAGAGCATTAATGCAATCAACACAGATACTATCCTTAAACAGAATTTAAAAATAATATACATAATATTAAATAACATTTGACATATTTTGGAGCTTACAGCTTATTATGAGGGTGTTGGGAGCAGCTGATAGGAAGCAAGCTGTATTAAAGAAAATAGAAGAAGTAGTCACATGTGCAAAGAAAAAAAAAAGCATGGTAAAATGAAACTAAGTGATAATAGAAAGGATGTTACTTTAAGTTGTCAGGAAAAACCTCCTGATAACTAGGGTCATATGAACAGAGAACAGAATTAACAGAAGAGCATCTGAGGTGAGGACACAGCTGAGTCAAGGCATTTACTCAGCAGTGTACTTGCGATGTGTGCAGGGCCAGCAAGGAGGTCAGTATGCAGCAAACATACTGCATAGGCAGCAAGGGGTGAACTCATCGAGCCTTTCTAGGCCACGGCAAAGATCCTTGCTTTCATTTAGGGGTGCAAAGGATCACTAGAAGATTTGGAGCAAAGGAATGACATAACCTGACTTCATTTTAAAATGGTCACGTTGCCACGCTAGAGCATAGTCTATAGTGGGGCACCTTAATTTGCCAATGGATTATTTGTCAGGTGAAAGATAAATAATGGCTTTTTGGTTTTAGTCAGTGCAAGAGAAAATGTCTGTAATATGAAATTTTGAAACTCCAAAAACTAACCATTAGTAGAAAATGTACTCAATAAGTATAGCAGAAAATTAGTGTCCATGTATACCTAAAACATTAATTTCTCAAACAGACTTTCACATTCGATGCAGAATATTTTACTGAGTAGTACTACTGCAAATGAGGCTGAATACCAAAATCAACAGCAGAGCAGATGTAACTGTATTTTGTTGTAGTTTTACTGAATTTATAAATTAGTCTGATTTTCCTCAAAACAATCCTTACCAACTTGAAGTTAATCTTAATCATCTGTTTCAGTGCTTTAAATCCCCATTCTCCTTTTTCTCCTTCAAGTTCCAAAACCTAAAAACAGAAGACATTTTTAGTCTCACTTAATATTGAACATATTATTCTTAAATTGCACTCAATGTCTAGTTTTGAATTAACTTTACATCATATTCATGAAAACATTTCTCCTACAATTCCACCCCTTCTTCTCCCCTAAAGCTTTTAAAAAGGACAAGTTTTACAATGCTTACCTACAGAGTTCATTTTGATGATCAGAAAATCAGAGAAATTTCTTGATTATTGTCAGAGAAATAATTTCCTTCCCAAGTAAATTTTGCTAAGAATAACCCTACAGCGTACTGTAAATCCAAAAATCAACTTACACTAGAGAAACCACACCTGTATGATGGGTACCTAAAGGAACAAGACTGCTTCGATAATCCCTGTTAATCATGTTGGCTTTCCCTGCTAGAATCACACAGCTTTTCAGGACAAAGGTCCTGTTGCACATACAACTTGACTGGCTATTTATCTGTGCTGCAAAGTGCAAACTTACCTTATGGAATTATCATTAGGTATTGAAAAACACACCTATGAAATAAAATCATTCAGGCACTTAATTTTGTCTAAAACATGATTCCAAAAAAATAAAACTTAACAAAGAAATAGTTGGGAAAAAATAGAAACCTTTTGGAAACTGCTTAATGCTGCTTTTGGGTCATCCTCCTTTAATGCTTTGGAATTATAGTACTGATTTTCCAAATCCACATTTGGCTCAGAGTTGCTGTCTTCAGAGTATTCCTGTATGTTGGAAAGAAAGAGTCAACAGATGGAAAAAAGGAAACCAGTACATTGTAAATTAAAAAGGGCAAAATTATTCATTTATATAAACCAAAGCCACTTTGAATGACAGGCAAAATGTCATTGATGCTTAGCCATTATTTTAAAATTGGAGTAAATGATATATAACATAATTTTCTTTCAGATCAAAATGAAAAGATACCTATTTCAGATTAAAACTATTATCCAAACAAAAGTAGAAGGGCCAGTGTTGTACAGTAGTAGATAAGGCTGCCGCCTCAGACACGAGCATCCCACAGGGGTCTGCTGCTGGCTGCTCTGTTTCTAATCCACTTCTACCCTAATGGCTTGGGAAAAGCAGCAAACCAAGTCTTTGGCCCCTGCCCTCCATATGGGAGACCTAATAAACCTCTGATTTCAGGCTAAGTGTTAGCCATTGCGTCCATCTGGGGAGTGAACCAGCGGACAGATCTGTTACTAGCTCTGACTTTCAACATCAATCTGAACAATAACAACAACAGCAACAACAAAGCAAAACAATACAACAACAAAACAAAACCAGGATGCAAAATTATTATTGGCTAATGTCCCTCAATTCTGCAGTAGTTAAATCTTGTTATGGAATTGGAGAAAAATCTAACACAAATGTGATCTAATTACTACTTTTTCTTTCTAAATTTTATTTACATTTACACTAACTAGTTAGAGTGGTAATTCACATATGGCAGAGCAGTCTAATGGTAAATACAATTATACGCTACTAAGAATACTGTTTTATGTGCATGCTACAGCAGCTATATAACAAATCAAAATAAATAAAATGAAGTAGATTAGCATAATTTTATGATACTCCCTAACATAAGCTTAGTTGTTGCTGAAAAACAACAAGGCAGAAGGGATAAGTGAAACAAAACAACTATTTTGTGAGTAATATAAACGAGTTTTAAGTAGCTCCACGGTATTCAATCTTATGAAACCCACATATAGTCATGATGAGAAATAATATTTTAGGAAGCCGTAAGATGTAGATTACTTTAATCTCAGTAACAAGCCAATATAAAGTAATGGGCAAGTTTGGAGCTGGTGTTTTGGCACAGTGGATTAAGCTGCCAACTGTGATGCTGGCATTCCATATGGGCGAGACTCAGCTGTTCCGTTTTATATCCAGCTCTCTGCTCTGGTGCCTGGGAAAGCAGTGGAAGACGGCCCAAGTGTTTGGGCCTTGCACCCTGTGGGAGACCCAGAAGAAGCTCCCGTTTTCGGCATGGCACAGTCCAGGCCATTTGGGGAGTGAAACAGCAGATGGAAGACCGCAGTCTCTCCCTTTATCTCTCTAACTCTACCTCTCAGATCAAGCAAAGGAGCAAGTTTATGTTAAATTAAGAACAATATCTGGAAATAAACACAAAAAGTGAACAGTAACAGAAAGTTAACTGTAAATTCAAAAACAGCTAATAAATTTCCTTGTAAGAGAACTATTGAAAACCCTGCAAAGTCTCTCAAAGGCAGAGAGGAGGGAGGAATGATACACTGAGTGTAATAAATGTTTAGAAGACTCAAAATATATTGACACAAGACGGTTTTTCAATAATCAAAATAGTAGCTTGGTAATGTGCGCCCTCTGGAGGATAGCTTTTTCTTTGCAGGAGGACATGAATAACATTAAGATGCAGAATTCTGCTAAGATGTGAAAATCCCTTACAACACTTCTGTTAGGGACAAGATCAGGTAGTAAGTAAATTTCATAATGGCACAATCATTTCTTAACTCATATAATCTAGTTGACTACAATGAAACTGACGAAATTTAAAGTCAAAATTTGAATAAAATGTGACAGAGACAAGCACAATCAAGGAAGAACTAAAAATAAGATTATTGAACAGAAAAAATATCACTTGATTCTGCCTTCAAAGTAAATCTCAAATCCCCGCCCCTAATTTTGTGCCAACCTATTTTCACCTCTCCAACATGCTTCCCATTCTCCTTTTTAATCTTCAAGTTTCAATCTTCTCATGGTAGCCAGAGAACCATCTTCACGAAATAAAAATTATCTTATTTTTTTTCTCCAAAGTGGCTTCCCATTGCTCCTACCCCAGGTTCAACCTTACCTCCTTTGACGCTTGCCCTCGTCCACTTCGCTGCAACTACCCAGACCTGACCTCACAAGTGACCTATCTCCCTTTTCATGCTATTTTTCCTTCTGTTCCACCCTCTATTAGCTGGTTAACTATAGTGTATTTCTGGTCTCTGCTTAAATGTCATCTCCTCAAGTAAATCTTGGGGTAAAGAATCAGTTATAAAAGGGAAATTGACATTTTCAGAATTGAAGATACTAAGTTTAATTTCATGAACATTACCGAACCAATTATAACATTTTTTGAAAAAGGATCCTTTACACTTCTTGTTATGTCTCACACGGGCCTTTATCTATCACACATGACTGACCGACTACTGCCACTTCTGGGACTTCACAGATTTCAGACCAATGAAATATCTAAATCCCGGATGGGTTAGAAACAATTGATGATGGCTGAGACAAACCTTGATACAGTCCTCAACATTTTTGCAAATACATTTCTTTGGTTTTTCATATTATATGGATTAAGATGTGGAAATGTATGCTATTTTTTACATAACTGTAATTCAACTTTAACAGCTATTATTGCCCAAATGAACAAATATGTAAGAATTGATAAAACTAGTGTTCAGGTAGTCCTGTTTTGTGATCTCCAACACCACATTCCCATGGTATGAAGCTGCCAACATGGCATCACTAACTTACCACTTGCGGTTCAGTGAATCACATCATCACAAGTTATGTACCACAACAAAGAATTCTTCAGTTCACACACACACACAATTCTTTAAAATGATGACATTTTGAAAAGTCTTCAGATACAAAATTTTGATGTTTTGATGCTTCTACTATTTCATAATTAATAATCATGATCTTTTAAAGGAAGATATATCTATTTGATACAAAGAGAAAATGAGACAGGAAAAGAGAGAAGCAGAGATCTCCGATCTGTCGGCTTATTCCCCAAATGATTACAAAGGCAGGGGCTGGAGCCAGGCAGAAGCCAGGAACTTCATGCGAGTCTCTCTTGTGGGGTGAGGGGCCCAAAGACTTGGGCTATCTTCCACTGCCTTCCAGGCTCATTAACAGGGAGGGGAGTGGAAGTGGAGCAGCAGAGTCTTGAACCAGTGTCTATATGAGATAATGGTACTACACGTGGCAGTCTGACCTGGTATGTCACAAACGAACTCCATTTTTGATTCTACCACATGCCACTTAATAACAGGGACAAGTTCTGAGAAATCTTAGGTAATTTTGTCATTGTGTGGCCACAAAACAGTATACTTACATAAAGGAATATAGCTTGATATTATTAAATGATATAATTTTTTAAAAGAAATTATTTAATTAAAACATGGAGGGAGGGGAGACACAGAGAGGTCTTCCACCTGCTGGTAGACTCCACAGATGGCTGCCAGGAGCTTCTGCCAGGTCTCCCATGTAAGTTTCAGGAATCCACTTCCATGGGCCATCTTTCACTGGTTTTCCCGAGCAATTACCAGGGAGCTGGACTGGAAGTGGAGCAGGCAGGAGTTAAACTGGCACCTATATATGGGGTGCTAATATTGCAGGTGGCAGCTTTTTTTGTTTCACAACATGGATTCCATGGTATCACATTTTGAAGCCACTCTCCCTTAGTGAAACTGTGACCCTAATAGTTAAGGTTTGGAAGCTAAGTCCAAGTGGTTGGTTGGTTGCTGACCAAAATTCTATCATGCTGCACATGACTGTATGTGCTAACAATTAAGTGTTGCTTGCACAATGTAAATTAACAATCCTTCCCCTCAAAGTACTCATTGTCTATATGAAACAAAACTACCAGAACATACTAAAAGAGACACATTAGGTACAGAAGAACCTCAATAACGATGTGCTCCAGGACTGGCATGGTAGCCTAGTGGCTAAAGTCCTCGCCTTGAATGTGCAAGGATCCCATATGTGTGCTAGTTCTAATCCCAGTTGTCCCACTTCCCATCCAGCTCCCTGCTTGTGGCCCGGGAAAGCAGCTGAGGATGGCCCAAAGTCTTGGGACCCTGCATCCGTATGGGAGACCTGGAAGAAGCTCCTGGCTTCGGATTGGCTCAGCTCCGGCTGTTGTGGCCACTTGGGGAGTGAATCATCAGATGGAAGATCTTCCTCTCTGTCTCTCCTCTTCTCTGTATATCTGACTTTCCAATAAAAAAAAAATGTTAAAAACATACTTGAAGCAACTATAAATGCATGAAGAGGAGGTAACTGTCATGACAATGGGCAGCTGAAATAAAGAAACATGAATAGCTTGGGCCGCAGCACAGAATGGGTATAAAGGGTTAACAAAAGATCAACTGAACAGAGCAACACTACAACACAAACCTTGTAAGGGTCTTAGACCTAACAGAGATACATTAGCTGTCTTAAGGCACTGCTTTTTTAGGAATACTACTCCGGAAGCAATGAAGCAGGCCAAGGAATATTCTTTTAAGATTCTGGCCAAGAGTTAGAGCTCTGATCCCCAGGAGAAAATGAAGAGAATGGGATAAATAGATGCTAAATGATGTAAAGTAAGTTTTATCACATGAGTGCAGGACTAAGGAAAACAAACTTGTTTATGATGGCAACGCAAGGCTTGTAAAACACAGTGCCGTCATAGAGGGAAAGGGTAGGCATTTGGGGCATCGGTTAAGATGCCATTTGGGGGGCCAACAGCCCATACTAGAGCACTGGGATTCAAATCCCAGCTTTGTGTCTTCTTGTAGCTTCCTGATAACAGACACCTGGCATGGTTCAAGTAGCTCACTGCTACCTACTTGGGAGTCCTGAATTTCTAGGGTCCTTGCTGCAGCCTGGCCCAATTCTGGCTGTTACAGGCATTCAGGAAGTAAACCAGCAGATGAAAGGTGTCTGTCTCCCTTTCTACCTTTCAGATAACTAAAAAGAAATAAAAGTATAAAAATAGAATCAAAACAGGGAATATTAAAATAATTAAATATTATTAAGCTATTCTGACTTACCCAAACAACTGATAATTTGAAAACATCACTGGGGTGTACAAAGCAAGTAAGCTTCTGCCTGTGGCACCGGCATCCCAGTGAATGCTGGTTCAAGTCCTAACCGTTCTACTTCTGATCCACCAACCTACCAGTGTTCCTGGGAAGGCAGTGAGGGATGGCTCAAGTGCTTGGGTGCTCAAACTCTTGTGGGAGACACAGAAGACCCTGGCTTTGGACTGGTTCAGCTTCTTCTCTTGTGGTCATTTTGGGAATGAACCAGTGGATGGAAGATCTCTATCCTGTGTAGCTCTCCCTTTCAAATAAAGATAAATCTTTTTTTTTTTTTTTTGAAAGTGAGATATACAGAGAGGAGGAGAGACACAGAGGAATGTCTTTCATCTGATGAATCACTCCTCAAGTGACTGCAACGGCCGGGGCTGAGCCAATCCGAAGCCAGGAGCATCTTGTTCTGGGTCTCCCTTGTGAGTGCAGGGTCCCAAGACTTTGGGCTGTCCTCAACTGCTTTCCCAGGCCACAAGCAGGGAGCCAGATGGGAAGTGGGACCACTGGGATTAGAACCAGCACACAAATGGGATCCTTGCACATGCAAGGCGAGGACTTTTAGCCACTAGGCTAACATGCCGGGCCCAGTCCTGGGTTTTTGTACTCTGAGAAGCCCAACGGCCAAATCAATGCTTTTGTTCATCATGTGTAGCCTCCCACCTGATTCCAATCCACCAGCAACAAAATGAAGGCTCACTATGAAGTTGCTACGAAAAAAAAAAAAAAAAGTCAACAAAAACTAAAATCACCAGAATCTATTTCCACTGTTTCTGCACTTTTCTCCCACCTAGAAAAACTAGACAACATATTACATTATTTTCAATAGTTTTTAAGTTTAACATTTACAGTGGGTATGTGCACAGTGCTGACAACTGACTCTTCAATATGATACCTCTGATTTTATAAAAATGATGCCAGGAAATTCTGTAAGACAGTCTACAGCTAAGATTCATTTTCTTTCCCTTTCCCCTCCAAGAAAACAAAAACAAAACAAAAAGAAATAGATAGAGAAGTAAAATTTTAGGGTATTAAAAATGCTACAGAAGTAGGTACTTAGCCTAGTGGAGTTGTGGGTTTGGTGCCGAGCTTGGGTTCCTAATTCCAACTGGTGCACACTGAGGAGGCAGCAGTGATGGCAGTGCCAGGGTTCTTGCCACCCCAGGGGAGACAGGCTGCCTACTGCCCACCTCAGTCCTAACTGGTACAGTCCACTGGGACGGGAGCTCCGTCTTCCAGATATATTAAAGAAACAAACCAACCAACCCTGCTAGGTATCAAGGCATGAACAACAGCATATACTCAATCAATATTCCTGTCTATTACTAAGCCATACCCTGCCTGACTCCTGAGCCGCAGAAACCGTGAGATGGCACATGTGTATTGCTTTAACAACTGTTTTTGTTAGTGTTGTCATACAGCAATGAGGGTCACAACTTGTTAATACAATTAAGAATTATTCTATTTTTTGAGCAGGTAATGTTTTGACTTTAACATATTTAAATAAAATTGTATTAGGTATAAGGATACATTAAAAACTTCTTGAGCAATGTAATTTAAAAATAAGGGGCTGGTGCAATGTCACAACTGGCTAATCTTCCAAATGTAAACACCAGCATCCTATATAAGTGCTGGCTTACCTCCTGGCTGCTCCACTTCCCATCTAGCTCCCAGCTTATGGACTGGCAAGGTAGGAGAGAATGGCCCAAAAGCTTTAGGAACCCCCCAACCCGACCCCTGTGGAACACTGAAGAAGCTCCTGACTCTTCACTCCAAATCAGTATAGAACTTGCCGCTGCAGTTCTTTGGAGAGCGAACCAGCAGATGGAAGATCTTTCTCTTTGTCTCTCCTTCTCTCTGTAAATCGGTCTTTCTAATAAAAAAAAAAAATGCAACCCCCTTTTAAGAAATTAGCTTATTTTGATGCAAAAGGTGTGAAATATATTCATATGGAGGATCCCCCAAAATTTCACAGAAAACGTATACTCTGAAAAAAAAAAACCTATGTTTAAACTCCAATTTTTTTGCATCAAAATAAACTCACCTTTTAATCCCACGGTCCCATAAATGTTGTGAAGTGCCCTGTACAACACCTTGGTGTGACAGAATTTTTAACGAATAATTTTTGGCATGAAGTCATTTAATTTTAAATTCTTTCTAAAAAATATTACAAGTAGTAGGTAAGTTGATGCTATCATGGCTGACCTGTCTAATTACATGGCAAATCATTTCTCAACATTGTATGGACTTCATTAACTACAGTTATCACTGGTTAGTATAGATCAGCAAAACAATTTTTAAGTCCAGAAAAGCAGCACTGGACTTAGAAGACATTGCCTCCTGCTCTCCAGCTACTCCCCACGCCTACATGGATGACCATGCTTGCAACCTGTCCACTTGCTGCTCCCCTAAACAGAAGCCCACGCTTTTACAAGCAGGAAGCAAGTATACCAAGCTCCTTTCACCTGGGTTTCTTCTGTTTAAATAAAGTTTGTCCTCTGTACTTTCAGACCTTGGGTACAAATTATTGTTCTGCTTCTGAAATAAAAACAGTACATTCTCACTACCTATTTCCACTAGGCTGGGCAAGAATAAAGTGATCAAGGATTAAAGTGGTCGAAGGTGTTAAAATTTATCACTGGGCACACTACAGGGAGCTGGTGTTGTTGCATTTAGAAACACTTAGCTCTGGTCAATGGCGATGACCACTATTCCAATAAACTTTTATCTTTTTTAAAAGAACTTTCCCTTGGACAGTAACTCATGCTTACTTTTTAAATCCTAAGTTAAAGAAAAAAGACTCGTGCAAAAAAATTATTTTTTTAAAAGACTTTAGGCAGTATATAACCATAAACTGGTAACCCACTGCTTGATGTCTTCATAAAAATGAGAATACTTCAAAAAGTTAGAAGAGAAATAGAATCAACAGATTTTATGTTGGTGTAAAATATTTTGAAATCCATGTATGCATTTGCACAAACTTTCTGTATAATGAGTTGAGGAAACCGAATAGCAAGTCAAAAGGCCAATTAGTAAGTACATTTTTCTGGCCACTCTAAGTTTTAACTATTTGCAGGTGGGCTGTAAGGCCTTTCGTTTCGACACCTGACTGGGAATTGAGAATGTGGTTTACCTAAGAGGGAGATTAGTGGGAGACACAGCTATTTAACAGGATGCTGAAGACCAAAATCAAAGACAAAATTAAACACTGTTCAGGGGGGCAACAGTCTTATTTGGGGGGGTGGGGCAAGACTTTCTTTTGTAAAGTCAAACCAACTAAATATTCAGCTTTATGATACTGTCATGTCGTTTAGGTTCTAAAAAGCTGTGGTGCCTTAGCCAAGATAAAATGGTAAAAATCTTGCAAAAAAAAAAAAAAAGAATACAGAAATTTAAAAACAAATAAGTGCTTATAAAAAAAGATGGTGACGAGCCGTCTGAAATATAAATAAACGTGTGACCATACAAATACACAAATACTACGGACAATACAGTCTTCATGGACCACAACTGGCTTGGTGTGCGCACACGCTGAAATGCAACGCATAAAGCAGTACAACTCCACACTTGAGAAGGCTGGAAGCTCCCACTACGACTTGCCAGTAATACTAGGCCTTTCCCTATTCCTTTTACAAATATGCCTTCTTTCAAAACGCGAACATGAATTTAAAATGACTAACGGACGTTCCCAAACATACATTACACGCACATTAAAAAAGAACACAAGTTTAGAATCGTCTGCATTTTAAATGTTAAGAGGAGCCAGACTTGACAACGAATCTACTAAGAATCAAACGGTACATCTCGGAAACAAACAAACAAACAAAAAAAATAAAGCCAAGTTGTCGTTAATTCCCGGTCAAGATAATTTTTCTTAGTTCCCACATAATACTTTTGAACAGTAACCTGAAAAGCTCAAAACCCCATTCTTAGATTCTGCAAAAGCACCAGCCCACGAGACAAATCTACTTATTTTCTATGCTGCTGCTACTTTAAACTTTGAGAAATCTCCAAGTACGGGGGAAAAATTCATTGCTTCCATTCCCCTCGTCTTCACCAAAACAAGCAGCACCTTGTCTTTCACACACGGCTCGGCTCCTCTTCCCAGTCATCCCTCTCCTGAACCGTCCACCTAGGACCAAAACTGACCCTGGACCGGACTGCTGGGGCTCTCCGGCCCACGGGTCCAGCCGGCCCCCCGCAGTTTTCAGACTTCTGTCCCGGGCCTTCAGCCACCGGCTCCGTCCCGGGGGGCAGGAACAGGGGCCAGGGACGCTGGGCCCCAAAGGGCTGAGCCGGGGAGGGCCTAGACCGCGGCTCGCTTCCCGAGGCGGCTCGCGCGCGGCGGCCGCGGGAGGAGGCGCCGAGGCCCGGACGCCCGCCGCCGGGGCGGCCGGGGGAACCCGGGAAGCGCCGGGGCTTGGAACGCAAGGCCCGGGACCCCCCGGAGCAGCCTCCTCGACCCTCGCTTTCCCCCTGCTGCCGGCCAAGCAGGGCCCGGGCCCGGTGCGGGAAGGGGGAGGAGGTAAACCCGTCCTGTCACCACACCGGGAGAAGCTGGAAGGGGCACACGCTCCGCCAGGAGACGCCGCGGTCACCACAGCCCCGGCCCGAGAAGCCAGACACTATCTCCCGTCCCAGCATTCCGTCCCCTGCGCCTCACCAGGTCGTAGTCCTCCTCATCATCGCACATGAAATCATCCTCCATGTCAGACATCTTGGCCGGGAGGGGGGAGGGGGAGGAGAAATTGGAGACAACCTCCTCCCACAATGCTCTGCGGCTCGGCGCGTCACTCCCAGCTTCTCCTCACCTTCTTGTGGCTTTTAGGAGTGGAGTTCCTCCCCGCGCCGGAACCAATGTGCTTGAGCACCGGAAGATTCGGTACGGACGGCAAAAGCGGGTATCCCGTCCCGCGCTTCCTGCGAGACGGTTGGTGCCTTAGCAACGAAACATAGCAACCGCGGAATCGGAACTTTGCGCGCTGGTCGAACGGTGCTCAGCCTCCTGCGTGAGGCGACAGTTTTTGCTGGCCCGGGAGTCTGGATCCCTTTCCTTCTGGTGAAAGAAAGTGACGGCCTGGGTCCGGTTCGTGGACGGAAGGCTGACATGACCGTGCTGCACGACAGGTTGTATTCTTTTTGCCACCGTTATCTAGAATGGTGTTTAGCCCACACGTTGCGGTGGATGGTCTGTGGTGTTTGGAGACCTTTCCAACAACCCGCTTTACACGTCATGTTTGTCATGTTTGACCTCCGGAAAAGAATCCGTCACACAAACAAGAATTTTGAATTCTGTTTACACCAGTTAGGTAGAGGCATGGAGAAGTGTATTCTTGAGAGTAACTGTTGTGATGGCTGTGTAATAATCCCTTCTTTGAATGTACCAGCATGCGGTAATTTATCTACTATTGTCTTTGGCGTTTAATGTATTTTTTTTTCCCTTAGGACGAGTTTCCATGAAAAGGAGTTGCAGGCAGGATTGTTTTTTACTAGTCAGTTGAGTCGTTGTCATTCTCGTGGCTCTTATAAGCAGTAAGGCAAAGCTAGGAACCCACAGCTGGATCCAAGCCTCCCCCGGGGGTGGCAGGGACCGAAGCGCTGGAGCCGTCGCCCGCTGCTCTCGGGGTGCGCGCTAGCAAGAAGCTGGATTGGAACTGGAGTGGGGATTCACACTCAGACACGCTTGACACGCTGATAAAGAACGGGCACGTCCCAAGTGGTGATTTTATGTCGTCCCAGACACCTGCCCTTGTATTTGTTAATTTCAAAACAAAGCTAAATGTCCCTGCAATTGGGCTATGTGAGTATATGAGGAGCCCTCCACAGGTCACGGAAAATGTGTATTGTGAAAAGACTATTCGTTGATTTACCAGACTTTCACACCACATTTTCTGTGACTGTTTGGAACTGCCCTTGTACATCCCCACTTCCCCGGGACAGACCTGGTTTGCTACCGTTGACTTAGCATCCATCACTGTCCAAAGTTTAAACATTAAATCACATGGTTCCTCTACCTGCAAGCTACAGTGCTTCAGAAGAGGGTGTCGAATCCCAAGGTAGTACTAAGGAGGTTTATTTGTTCAGAGTAACCAGAGCTGTATAGTTTTGCTTTTTTACTCAAGAAAGCCATTCTGAAATGATCAAACATGCATACTGAACCCATGTGTCAAACCAAGGTGATCCACATAGAAATTATACAAAATGTGCTGCTTTTTGAATGCAGTGCCTTACTCTGTAAGGAGAAAAAGGATTATGCAACTAAATGGGTGGCAAGGCAGGCTAGGAAAATGGGTACTGAGTTTTAAGCGTGATTTCCTTGGCTGTGGCCAAAATCATTAAGTCTAATTTGGAAGTTTTTTTCAAAGCAATTGATAAGGTCTTCATGATGTTTAGAATACTGTTTCCGTACGTCAGTGTTACTGAATGCTTGTGAAGGAGCATTTGAATGAAGTAGCCAGAGAAACCTTTCCTATCCTCAGAAGTCCATTAAATGTTAATTATAGAGCCTGAATACTTTGAACAGTTATACTATTCCCTTTTCTACTTTTCAGGATGTTAGTTTTATTCAGTAGTAAATGATTGAACAATTTTTATTTTTAATATGCGTTAACATTGAAAGTGGGTCCCTTTAAAAAAAAAAGATTTTTTTATTTGAAAGGCAGAGTTGCACAGAGAAAAATCTCGCACCTGCTGATCTCCCCAGATGGCCACAGTGGCTGGGGCTGGGCCAGGAGGAAGCCAGGACCCTGCGGCTTGGATCAGACCACCTTCTGCTGCATTCCCAGGCTCGGCTCATTAGTTGGGAGCTGGTCAGAAGTGGAGCAGCTGGGACTAGAACCACAGCTGATGTGGGATTCTGGTGTCAAAGCAAGTTGTGTCTTAACCCATTGTGCCCTAACACGGGCCCTCAACTCTGTCATTATTGGTGTGTCTTTTAGCAGCTTTACTGAGATACATTAAGCTGCAGATAATTAAAGTGCCTAAGTGTACATCTGTGAAACTGTAAAATACTCAGGTACATTTGTCCCTACCAGTTTTTTTCATAGATACCCTGACACTCAATATCCATCCCACTTCACTTCACTTAGGTAACCACTGATCTGCTTTTTGTCACTGTATATTACTTTACTTTTTTTTTTTAGAGAGCCTAAACATTGTGCTAAAAGAGCAGTAAAAGAGAACTATTGTGTTAGTCAAGACCAGGACAGCTAACTTATGATATATTCAGAGGGGTCAATTGGAAAGAGCTTAATGAAGGAACTGTTTACATTTCCACAGATGGGAACTGGCTTGGGGGGGTGGAAACAAGGAGGCTAAAACTCTGAGATCAGTAATCACCTCTTGAAGCTTGAAGGGGAAAAGGGAAATGAATTGTTTTACGAGAGCCCAGGGAAAGTGAGGGCCATGGAAGAGAAAGCCTCTGCACAGGCTGTGGTTGTGGGAAGGCGCAGATACTGCTGCAGCCATGTCAGAGGTGTGGCCGGAGGCTGGGCCAACAAACACCTGGTTCCTGTCCTCCCTCCGGCTTTCGTTGCCCTTCCTGGTGACCAGCCCTAGCCAATCCCCAAGGCCATGAGGAGGGATGGACAATGGGGCTTAAAGAACACAACATTAGGCCTGTTGTGATGGCCTAATGACTGACTGAAGACCTTGCCTAGCATGCACCGGAATCCCATATGGTGCTGGTTCGTGTTCTGGATGTTCCACTTCCCATCCAGCTCCTTGCTTGTGGCCTGGAAAAAAAAAAAACAATGAAAGATGCCCCAAAGCCTTGCAGCCCTGCACCTGTGTGGGAGACCCGGAGACGGCTCCTTGTTCTTGGCTTCGGATCAGCTCAGTTCCAGCCCATCGTGGTCATTTGGGAAGTGAACTAGTGATGGAAGATCTTTTTCTCTCTCTCCTTCTCTCTATATATCTGCTTTTCCAATACAATAAATAAATCTTTAGAAAAAAAGAACACAACATTATATAGTATAATTCATTGGTAGCATAAATTATTTATTTTGCTCAGGAAAAGAATTTTCTGTTTCCCAAAGGCAGATTATTGGTTATCCTTTGTTTTAGGACCCTTGCCTTAAATCTAAGAAGAAAATATTTTCCCTTTCTATAACGTAACAGTAATTGCTTTTTTTAAATTGACTTTGCCATTGTAACACCTCTATTTTTTTTGTTTACATTGCAATTTTACAGCCAGAGTCTATAAAATTTCACAATGAGAGTCTGTAAAAACAGTTCTTGCCTTCAGGAAGATTATAGGCCAGGTCTGTACCATCTAATGAAGCAACCACTTATTTCTAGTTGGAGTTGAAATTTGTTTTTAGTGTAAAATGTGTACTGGATTATAGAGGCTTACTACAAAAAACTTAACATCTGGGTTTAAAAATGTTTATTTGAACTTATATTTTGTGTACAACAAATTTATTTTAAAAATATTTATTTTCATTTGAAAGGCAGAGTTATAGAATTTGTAGAGAAGGAGAGAGAGAGAGATCTGGCTCACTCCCCAAATGGCCACTTGAACTGGAATTTGGCCAGTCCGAAGCCAGGAACCTGGAGCTTCTTCCAAGTCTCTCACATGGGTTTAGGGGCTCAAATAGTTAGGGCATCCTCTCCTGCTCTCCCTGGTACATTAGCAGGGAACTATACTGGAAGTGGAGCAGCTATTCCAGCTGTTGAGAACTGCCTAGGTTGTCTTGTACCTGGGCAAGAGTTACATTGCTGGGAGAAAAGCAACCAAGGTGAGAAATTCTATACCTGGTTGATGTGAAATCTGTGTTGACTATACCAGTGTGGCAGCATAGTTACCTGTTCGAGTTTTCTTTTTTTGTTAAGATACATGGGAAGCCAGGACATGCCACCCCATCCCTCAGGCAGGGGAGCTGCAGATTGCTCAGGGAAGGAGGTCTAGAGATATGTTGGAATGAGAGTAGCTGACGGCATATTTGACAATGAAATAATTATTTCTGGCGGCTTTCACAGACCAGGCCACTGCACTCACAGGTAGGTGAGGGATCTGAGACTGGGTGGTTAAGAGGGGGGAACCAGAGGGCATGTCTGAAGTCAGGCCAGGGTAGCTGTCCACATGGGAGACCTGTGCTGAGCTAAATAGCATTTCCCATTGCCCACTGGCGCTTACGAAAGCTGGGGCTGGTGAGCATGCCTGGCTGGACTGTGTGGCAGTACCCACTCCCGAGTGTCAGGGCCATGTCAGGCAGGGTTACAGCATTCACCATAATGGGGCTGGGAATGGGGATGATAAGGAAACTTTGGGGACTCTCTTGCTTGGTTGCTGATTCTACTGGTACGTATGAGACTGGGACTGGGGGTGGTCCAGTCTGAGGTTGACGCAGGCTGGGCTAGACTGCAGAACCAGCTGGCAAGATCCAGGACTGGGTGCAAATCATGTTAGGTTGGACCATAGTACCCCCTGGCAGGTGCAAGATCTGGGGCTGGGAAAATTCCTGGCAGGGGAACTGTGGACACTTTCCTGCTAGGCTGCACTTCTCACTGGTGAGCTTGAGAGCCAGGGATGGGGGTAGGCCAGGCTGGTAAAGGCAGTAGCACCCATTGGCATACATGTGGGCTGGTTCTTGGGGCCGGGCCAGGCTGAGATAAGCTGCAGTACCATGGGTGTGCCAAAGAGCCAGGTGGGATGTGGAATATACCAGGCTATGCCACAACACATGCCGGCAAATGTAAGCAGCAGGGCTGGAGGCAGGCCTGGTGGGGATTATTTGTGGTTGCCCTGCCTATGCTGTGGCACATGCTGATATGCCTATAGACCAGGCCTATGCTGGGTTGGTATGAACTACGCTGTGTCACCCATCAGTTCATGTGAGAATTGGGGCTGGGGTGGAACTCACCAGGCAGTTGCACCACTGGTGTGTGTGTTGCGTGGGGCAGGTGATAGACTGAATCATAAGCAAACAAGCAGAAGATCCTCAGAAATTTTGTTTAGTTTCATTTTTTGCTCTATAAAAACTGCTGTGTAAATATTTTTTACACAATTTGTTTCTGTCATTGATTTGTACAGGATAAAAAGTTATCTTTAATGACATAAATATACATTTCTCTAGTTCATGAGGTCTTTGCCTTTTGTCTTAAATTATTATATACTAAAAGAGGAC